CATTAGGGTACCATATAATTGTATATAGTTTTTGATTATTTATGATTTTCGGATAATCAATCGAGAGGGTTCAATGTATCGCGATAATCTATCGACACTAAAATATCTATCGTCGATACGATTCTTCACACCCCTGAATATTGCCTTAAAATTCACACCCCTGAAAAATGCATTGCAAAAATTGAGTTAACGAAAATTTAGCAACTATTGACATCTCAAAATGTTTTGTTATAAAACAAAAATAGCTGACTCTCGAAATTTACAGGCAAATTTTTCTTTCGCTTGTCACCAAGCACATTTTTTGCTCTGCTGAACAGTCTTTCAGCTAGATTGGACGTTCCGGGTACTCATTCCAATTTCAAAGTTGTTATTTTTTTAAGCAAGAATAAGTCCGCTTTTATCAGGTAATTTGTACTTCAACGTTTTTTTTAAGAAGTTGCATATACTTCAAGAAAGTTGGTGTACAAAGTTTTTGTAAGTTGGTATTTTTCAAGTTCAGAGTGTCTTTCGGGAAAGAAATTGGAAAATCATTGATTATAATCCATTCCATCCAAACAAATGTTTTTTCTTGAAAAATCAGAAATACGAAATCTCAGATCAAGCATATTTGAAGAATTTTTCAACTTTTCTTTTCATATTCAGGGTGTTTATCGGTAACATGACCAGCTACACTTGCGGAGCCGCTGCAAGGTGCCTGCTTTCGTTTAACACTAGGGCATTTTCGACATATAAAGTAACCTTTCAGTTTTTGAAGCTGCAAAATAAAACAACGCGACTTTCTGCGAGCGGCCCATGGCTACATGGCGTGTGGGGGATGATACAAAAATCTGAACATTTTCCAAATAATTTTTCTAATTTTTTTGAGCGAACACTTCACTGCTCCATAGGCCTAAAAAGGCAGTCGGAACATTCAGGGCTTCGCCCTGATACGAGCAGTCTTGCTGGCTTGGTAACTTTCATCCGATCAGTCTGGGTTGCTTATTTTGTTATTGAAGATAATTATCTTGGAGTGTTGTAAGTGCGCCGCTAAAAGCAGTTCTGGTGTGAAGTCCTTAAAATCAATCATTTATTCAATTTTGCTTCTGCGAGATAAAATATCGCTTGTCTTGTCCGAAATCTAAGGCTGTCAGAATGGTTGCTAATCATTGCCAATCACTCTCGATGACCTCACCTTTAAAACCAGATTTCCTCTTACAATAGTTGTGCTCAGGGGAGGAAATACTGGAATGTAATCCTTCTAATCAGACATAAAAGCCGCCGTACACTTGTTTAACCTAAATAAGAGTGGAAATGTTTCTATTTTAAAAAATCGTTCCCTCTTAAATTTCCCTTGCTTTCCTGCTGTAGTTCTTTTGTACTGTGCTGTGCGTCTATATCAACAGGCATTTAAGCTCGACTGCTTTGGATTATTTTAGTGAGTGCGACAATAGCATTGCAAAGTCGCGATTCCATGGTTCCTGTTTAGTTGATAATGTCTTTTTGCAGCAGAAATTCGTTTCATTGGGAACATAACACGAATGGTTAGTAATATTGAAACTATTGTATTGTGGTCTTCGTGCTTTATAGAGGGAAGCGAATATTAGAACGCATTCTTCATACGGCCGAGAAGAAGTCGCTAAGTAGAAGGAAAAGACAATTCAGTTCAGTAATGAGTGCAGTTGGTATAAAATCAAATGGTATGAGAGGCCAGCACGCCGACCGAACTGTATGCCGAAAAAATTCTACTTATTCGTTGATGATTTTTTTGAAACAAAGGCTCCGTGCTTCACGAAGTTCTATTTTTAAATTCAATTATTGTCATATTCGAATCTTTTACACCTCTTAATCAGACACCTCGCTTTTGAAAATCCATCATCTCCGCATTTGAAAATCCAAAATGGTAATAAAAAAACTACTATCGTTGAATCTATCTGCAAAACGAACTGCAACCAAAAAGCTAAACCAAAATAAATAAATTCGTTCGTTTAAATTTTAATAGTCAATGAGCGTTCGTTGTTTGTCTTTTTTTCCTGTAATATAAAAAATGCACCGTTTTTACACCGTTTTAAATATTTTATTACGTCTGCAACGTGTAACGTCGACTCGTTTTTTAAATGTAATGAATCGTGGTGCAAAAAAGAACAAGTGAATGTATTATACTACAGCATAACAGTCATAAAAGTTGCATAATCGTAGTGGGGAATTGCATAACTTACTATGGTATTATATAATATTTCTATCGCCAGGACTCTCGGGTATCCTTGGGACGTTTCCATTCTCTTATTTGTCTTCGTCTTATGTAACTTCTGACGAATAGTATTTTGAAGCGACCATTTTGTGTTGCCGAATGAATTATATAATATTTAGCTGCTGGTGGTGTTACTGATTTTTGTTTGAAGAATCAGATCAAAATTTTTGCTCGCGGACGATCCTTTTATAGCTTCTGTTTTCTGAATTACTTTACTGACTCTCATATAACTAGAAAGATTTGCATTTTATCTTTTGTTCGTCGACAATAATCGTTGATTTTGAAGCAAAAAGTTCCAAATTGACCTGCAAAATTTGAGGCTAATTTTTTGAAAACTTAAGCCAGAATCGGTTATTTTACATCATTAATCTTCAAAAAGAGCAAATTTATATATAAAATATAGTCTGTTTATTGTCAGCTTTAAGTCGGTATTCATCGGCTGTTCAGCTGATATCGGTCGCGTAGCCGACTTACAACAGTTGCTTAGAAATCAGACGTTTATGTGGAGTTAAATTGGTATACTTATTTTTGGACATCTTTATCCTCGGATTATTTAGTCGCCTCCTCTATCGCTGGTATTTGTCAAAATTGGAACTTAATTTCTCGACTTTTGATTTAAATTGTAATGGACAAAAATGAAGATTATTCTGTTTTCTCTTCAGATTTCGTTTTTGATCTGCCGAGCGTCCTGGAACAGGAGGAGTCAAGGCCTGAACTAATTTCACGTGAGACTAAATACCAAAAGATTGACTGTCGAGGCGCTTCACAGGGCAGTCATCAACAAGAAGACACCAAGGAAGAATCCTTAATAGGTAGTAGTACGGTTGGAAGCAGTAGAGGTTTGTGTGCCAGTGTTGTAATGGTAAATGATGAAACGAACCAATCGCAAGATTCTATTTCTCAAAGCTCTTTTGCTTACAGTTGGCTCAACACCCTGAGTTCTATTCCAATTTGGGGTCTTCTCTTCGCCGACTCCACGTACGATGTCACCCAATCGGAATCCCAACCGGAAGAAGTTGTCGCGACTCCGACTCAATACGACGAAGCAGTTGACGCCGATGACTCTTTCACAACTTGTGTGACACCTGAAGAATGTTCAGGATTCTTGACGTCATGTCTGACGTCACAAGAATGTTCTGGAATGAGTGTGCCGGATGGCGAGAAAGAACTTTGCACAATCTGTCTGCGAGTTCCAAGGAAACCGCAGAGGCTGAAGTGCAACCACGTGTTCTGCGAGAGACCTTGCCTCAAAAACTGGACGCGACGGTCTACCGTCTGTCCGAACTGCCGGAATCCTATTGGAAATGTAAGATTAATCTTACAATTATTGTTTTATTTTTCAATCATACAAAAGCTAGCCGTTAAACATGTTTTTTTTTCTTGTAAAAAAAAAACTTTTTAAGGACTGAAATATTGTACTAATATTAGTAAATGTAGAAATTCAATAATAACATGTATATTTTTTTTTGCCCGGGGAGCAATCTAAACTTCAAAGACCCTAAATTTTAAATAACTTATCCTTATTTTAACCCTAATATGAGAGCATTAGAGCTTTAACCCTAATATCAGATGTGTAGCTAATTGTTGTAATGTTTCAGTCCAGTGTAACTCGTGACATGACCTTATCAATGGTGCTAAATGACAACGAGATAGCTGACATGGCCTATGAACTTGACTCATTTGCGAACTCAGATGAGACCAGAGGTCACTACAGTTCGAACAACTCCGCGTCGTCCTTCCTTTCTTTTAACCTAACTCTCTTTGGGTACCCTCTGTTCGGCACAAGACGCGTCAACGCTCGTGTCCGACCCGGGCTAGACTTGTTCGGCACCCCATTTCCAGACACAGTTGCCGCAAGGATGTCTCGCGATCAGCGACGGTTCCGAGGTGCAAACAGACCTCGACTCAGAGAGCAGGAGGAGGGACTAAGCAACATCACTAAGATTTTGATTTTTCTCTGCTTGATAATAGTTTTGATTACAGTTTTCCTAGTTATAGTGAGAGTGCAATCGCCTGCTTACTTTAGGTCCAGATTATCCCAAGCTTATGGCGAGAAATCGCTCTCGGCGTTTTCGTCCAGTAGCGGCGGCCCATACTATTACTACTATGATGAAAATTACACGGCCAATGAGATACGTTCACACGAGGAACAAAAAGTGGACGACATTTTGGACCCTTTATCTTCGCTGCCTTCAATTTTCTGATGCCATTTCAGAAAAGAAGGAGAACGAAGCAGCTGCAATAGAACCGAACGAATGAAAAGAAACTGAATGCAAATAATTGCTTGGGTCACTATTTGTGTACTTAATTCATTGTACAAAGCTAACTGCAACAATTCCAAGTGCAACGAAGTTTTTTACCTCAAGTTTATTTTTGTATATAAAAAGATTATTTTCTTTCAATCGAGTTTTTCTTTTTAAAAAAGCTACATCAGTATATTGAAGTGATACGTGAGAAGAATCGAATTAGATTTTAGAAAAATCTTACTTGCAAAAACAATTGCATTCGCAGTAAAGAAACTGATTTGAAAATGTCCACAAATTTATAAGCCATCTGTTGCAATATTGAAAACTCGATTCGCTTGAACTAACATGGCATTCAAGCTATGCTTTCCTGGTATATCTCAAACACGTGACACCATAATGCAAAACACGATCAAATATTTGGTCCAGATTGAACGTCATTTTGAAGCTCAAAAAATTCTCCAGATCGCACGCGTTTTTTTTTCATTTATATTTAAAATCGATTATAGCGAGTTCACTGTTAAATTAAGTTTTGAAAATGTGCTTTGTTAACCGAAACAGCGGATAAGGGATCGGTTTTGAAACTTTGTTTTGTAAACAAAAACAGCGGATGAGGAATCGGTTTTGAAATGTGAAAAATATAGTTGGAGATACGGCTAGTTATAATCAGATAAGACTTCAATTTTCAGAAAAATGTTAAGACGTCAAATAAGAGAAAGAAAAGAGTACTTATACCGCAAGGCGCAAGAGGAAAAACAAAGAGCCACTGAAGATAGAAAAAAGAAAGTCAGAACTGCCCTTGAAACCAATGCCCCGTTACCCACTGATGTGAAAAAGGATGCATTAGACATCCAGAAATTGCTGGATGCAGATACGCCTGGAATTGATCCCCTCGAAAGTCACGAAGATGACGAATACAAATGGTCGGGAGTTGAAGACCCGAACATTTTTGTAACAACAGGCCACGAGCCGAGTTCGAAATTAAAAGAGTTCGTCAAAGAGCTTAGACTCGTGTTTCCGAACTCGCAACGTGTGAATAGAGGAAAAACTGGAATCAAACAGCTGGTTGAATTATGTAGGAATAATAAGACTGATTTAATAGTTGTTCACGAGCATAGGGGAGTTCCGAACGGAATCGACATTTGTCATTTACCTTATGGGCCTACAGCATTTTTCTCCCTGTCTAATGTTGTGATGCGTCACGACATACCAGATGTCGGACCCATGTCGGAAATATTTCCACACCTCGTGTTTCATAATTTCACGTCAAAATTAGGAAGCCGAGTTAGAAATATTTTAAAGTTTTTGTACCCTGTTCCAAAAGAATCGTCTCAAAGAGTGACGACTTTTTTCAACGACAATGATTTCATCTCGTTTCGACAGCACACGTGGGATAAGGGAGAGAGTAAGGGAGACGACCCGGTGTTGACAGAAATTGGACCTCGTTTCGAAATGCAGGTTTACAAAATCATTTTAGGAACAATTGACCAAGAAAACATTGCGGAAACTGAATGGAGGCTGCATAACTTCTTGCGGACTGCAAACAAGCGAAAACTTTTGACAAATCCTGACGATGATGAAAATGATAAAACAGGAAACTAAAATTCTAAATTTGGTTGTTTTGTTTTTCGTTTTGAAGTTGATTTTGGAAACTTAAAAAATCAAGTGTTCTCTTGTTAATTATTTTAAAATTGTTTCATGTATAGGCTATGCGGTTGCTCGAATCTTTTTAATTAGCGTTTTATGGGCTATTGTTTTTGCGACTGCTTTTTCATACAAATTCAGCTAACACAAAAAAGCCTTCAGTCGTGTTTTTAGTCGAGCTGCAAGGAAAATTTTTGTGTCTGATTTTTTCCTGCTGATTTTTCTGAAAAGTTCTGAATTTTCTGCTTTTAAGACTTTCAGTGGTTTTTTTTGTCGTTAAGTGATCATTTTCAGCGAATAAGAAATGTAAAGAAGATAACTTTCATTATTTAAGCTATAGAAAACAGTTCCTAAAACAGTTAGCATTATTACCTTGCATCCCTCTGTGCTACTTCAACAGCAGCTAGCTACTCTTTATATATCACTTTTCCTTCGGTATCAAAATTTTAGCTTATTTTACAAAACCGAGCAATGTTTTCTAGTTGCAATATCTACCAGTCCAAAGGCGGCCTTGGGTTGAAAATAAAAGAAGACAAAACAGTGCTGCCGGTCTAATGAGAAAAAAAGAGCCACCGATTGCTGGAATGCAAGTGGCTGATTCGACACGCGTGAAAAGAATCCAAACTAATCCAAAAGTAGACGGGGTTGCTTGAAGAAGTCCCAGAGGGATGCATTCATCTTAGGTTTTTCATTCTAATTTCATACCCAGGTGGGCTTATATTTTTTCAATCTCTTCTGCAGTTGATGCTACAGCCATCCTGAGGCCCAGAAGAGTACATGTAAGAAAAGTCTGGGTCTGAAAAAAGACAGCAAACAAATGAGGTAGGAAAATAATCAAATACATACCGTAAATTAGATTTCTGTCTTTGAAACGAGCTCAGATGCTGCAATCAGAAAAGAAAGAAGCTCGAAAGTCAATTGCGGGAAATCAATTATACAGATGAGATAGCTTTTTTGGAGGATTTCGCAAAAATTATCAATAAATGTAACCAGGGCGGATCCAGGATTTTCTCGAGAGGGGATTTTCAAGAAAATTGAAAATATAGTCGATTTTTTTTCTGGGTGGAGTAAATTTTCCGCGTTCTTCCATGAGAGTAAGAACACTGTGAAAAGACTGTTTCGAGGTGTTAATTTAATCCTTTTAATAAGTAACCGTAGTTCAGAAAGTTAGTCGGAGACAATAAAATAGCTGTCATCCGAAGGTGACAGACAAACTCCGAAGGTTAAATACCAGTTAGTGCCAGACAGATAAATGAATTAAATAGCACAACTAGAAATGGAACATGAACTAAATTTAGATACTATGACATTTCCCTCCTTGTAAGAATTAATGACTCTAATCAACGTATCCAATGCATCGATGTTAACAGTAATCAATAGGGTTAATAACAAGTTTTGTCAATCAACTACAACACCTTTAAAACACAAACTTTTGAGTTTTTGCCGTTTCACAGCATGCCCTCTCCCTGGACCTCCATATGATAACAGTTTTGTAAGTTGTTTATATAAGTTTGTTACTCATACTTCTTTTTCTCCTCCTTTTCATTTTGCTCCCGACTTATTCGTCTTTTGGATGTTATCGATCATGACTGCCCCTATCTTAGTCACTGCGGTTCGTTTTCTTCCAGACCGTCTAGAGCTAGTTTCATCCAGTGAACTAGCTGAATCTTGACTTGAGTAGGAAACAAGTCGTTGTTTCCGACCCCGCTTTTTCTCTTTGATTTCTGGAATTTGTTCCGCCTCGCGTTCCGTCTCCTGTGGTGTGATTCCTCCGGTATCTCCCTCCCTTTGGTTCTCTGCGATTTCCTGCTCGCGTGCAATTGTGTAGTCCGTCGCTGTCTCGTAATTACTAGGTCGAGTCGTTATGATTTCAGGTTGTATTTGGTCCTGTCCCCCACTAGACGTTCCTTGTCCCTCTTCCCTAACGTTTGTTCCACCACTTGTCGGTTTGGCTTGCTTCGATGTAATTAGCGGCAAATGGTCTTCCGCGTCCGAGTCTGAGTCCTCCGCGATTTCCAAATTTTGGAATCGTGACTTCTTTCCCACGGTGCTATGGAAAGTTCCCCTGGTGCCTTTTGAGCTGCTTGGCTGGTTACCACACGTTAGTAACTTTCTTTTTAGGTCCCATGGCGTTGGTGGTGCCGCGATTTGTCCCGGCGCCCGTTTCTTCTGAACTTTTGCCTTCTTTAGTGCTACTCCCAATTTTCTAAGCACAGCACCATTACTCATTTCAATAGTGTGCTTACTTTGATTAACTATGTCAAAATTTAATGGTCTATACCTATTTATATTCCGCTCCCCGGTCCTCTGCATCACCACTGCCGGTGGTATTTCTACTGGGTCACTTGGTGCCCGCACAATTCCAGGCTCGTCATCCTGGTTAGCGGCTTGGTCATCGGCCAATTTCAGTGGTCTTCGCCTATTTTTCAGGTCGTACTCAGTGTCCGATCGGATTCCCCAGTTGGTATCCATAGGCTCCGGCATTGCTTGGGCGATTGGGTCTCGTTCATCTAAACATGCAGATTTTGATCGTATTACCTTATCCCAATTTAAGTTCCGTAAAGTAGGCTTTTTAGTCAAATTTCTGAGTACCGTGTTAGCTTCCCGGCCGTGGTGCGCTTCGAACGGTGTTATGTTGAGGGTGGCGTTTTTAACAAATCTTAAAGCTCCGAGGGCTCTTTCGACCATTCGATCCAAGGGTTCCGGTTTATCCTCCCGCGCATACGTCAGTACTGAATTCTTGATGCTGCCAATCGTGCGTTCGACACATCCTGTTGCCCTATGATCGTTCACTGGCGAGATGAGGATTTCAATTCCTTGTTCATGACAAAATGCCCTAACCTCCTTAGACATAAAGTTTGTTCCTTGATCAACTCGAATTTGGCGCGGAACTCCATGGGCAATTATGTATGCTTTCAACAATTTAGTAATTTTATCCGATCGGTTCGAATTACAGACCATAGCCGATGGCCAACGTGAGAACCGATCCACCGCCACCAAAACATACTTTTTAGACTCCTTCAAGTAGTTAATGGGCCCCCAAAAATCCAGTTGTACCGATTCATTCGGTTCTTTTGGCTCAGGTATTTTCCCTATATCATTCTTCGAACACATGTTTTTCAAGTTCTTACCCGCTAATGTGCATTCCTGACAATTCCCGGCGATAGTTGCTAAGTTACGGAACATGTACGGGTACCAGATGTCTTTAGCCGCGTCGTACATACTTGATTTCCCGTGGTGATAATAATGTAGCCTATTGGCCACCGCCGCTTGCAAGGTGTTAGGGATCAATAGCCTCTCGTCCATCCACAGCCATCCGTCTCTTACGTGAAAGTCCTGAGTATACTGCGCAAAGTACTTACTCATCGCTTCAATTTTTGAGTGTAACTGAGGGTCTTTACATTTAATTAATTCGATAATGGCTTGTAATTGTGGATCTGAATTATATTCTGATTCTATGAATCGAAGATTAAACAATTCGGGAAGAGCGGTTTGTTTACTGACGATTTTGCAATTTCTCGGAATGTTAGACATAACCCTATTTTCCGGATTAACCGGTGGATAACTTTCGCCAGGGTAAACCGACGGAATGGAAATAATAGTATTTGTTTTACTTCAGTTGTAACCGCCTGCATATCCACATCAATCTCCTCTATTTCATCGCTACTACTAATGCTAGGGTGTCGTTCCAACAATTTTCTGATTTTTTTTTCCATGATTAAATTGTGTTTTAAATTTTGAGTGTTTGTTGAAGAATTTGGAGAAATTTTGAGTGTTTTTGAAGAATTTAAGTAACTAAAGTCAGCTTCAATAATAGTCCCAACTAAAGTATTACTAGACTTAATTGACCTGCCGGAAATGCAATTCGTCGCTCTGTGATTGGTCCAATATCCATCGCATGATCGTTCGCCCTCTACCGGTCGTTTTCTATTCGATATATTACAAACGCGTCTATTATTAGTAACCGGTGGATACTCGAGTCTATTTTTGGAGAAAGGTTCCTTTTCAAATCCGAGGGCGGATCTAATTCTACTAATTTTCGCCACCGTAAACATACTGTCGTAGGTGCTAACCGGTTGAGGCTCCAAACTGGGATGCCTTGATAGATAGTCAGCGAGTCCAATTTTTGCTCCGGGTTTATGCTCTACTTGAAAATCGAACGGTATAAGACGATCTAACCATCTTGTTAATCTGCTAAACATTGTTTTGTTCTTTTTGTTGTTCCCATTTAGCAATGATACTAGTGCCTTATGATCCGTAACTATTAAAAATTTTCTTTCAAGCACATAGTTGCGGAAATTTTCCGCCCCCCACACAACTGCCAGCATTTCTAATTCATTCGTTGAATAATTTTTCTCTGCCTCGTTTAAATACCGGGATGCGAACGATATCGGCCGCCAGCCGTCGGAATTTAGTTGCTCAAGGACCGCTCCGAGCCGGTTATGACTAGCGTCACACACAATTCTTGTGTCTCGGTGTATATCAAAATGCCGAAGTTCTATGTTAGCCACCTGCTTTTTCAGGTTTTCGAATGATATTTGACATTCGTCGCTCCAAATATAATCGTTTTTCCGGCTTAATAGTGGGCGCAATGACGCTGATGATTCCGCAAGCGCCGGAAGATATTTGTGCAGGCTGTGAATGGAGCCCATAAAGGATTTAAGTTGTGACACCGTTTTTGGTGCTTTAAGCGATTCGATCGGTTCCGTTTTTCGGACGAGCGGTGTTATTCCGGTACGAGTTATTTTGTGCCCCAACCATTCACACTCTCTCCGCGCAAATTGGCATTTGGTGAGCTTAAGTGACATATTCTCCCGATCCAACTTCCGCAAAATTCTCTCAACTGTCGAGATATGCTCAATCTCCGTGCCTTTGGTGACCACCAAAATGTCATCAATAAAAGCATGCGCCTGTGGAAATTCCGAAAGGATCGTATCCATCACTCTTTGAACACCCGGGATCCTAACGCTAATTTTACTGATCCATCCTTTTTCACTGTTATTACAATCGGAGAAACAAAATACTTATCCGAACAT